TATGGGTCAATGAGGGATGTTGTGTCTCATAGTGGGGCTGGCCATACGGTCCTCTCTGTGCACTGGCTGCTCTCAGCAGGAATATCATCCTCAAGGCTTGGTGGGCCAGGATGTGCTCCACTCTCTCTTCCTCCCTCTTCATTTGCTACTGTCTGCTCTGATCAGACAGGTTCCTCTCCTTGAGCTGTAGCCTCAGTACTGCCCTCTGAAGTCAATTCTTCTGGGGGTAGGGGTGGCTGTCCATATAGTTGGGATTGGAGCCGGCCCCTGAGACCTCTCTACTGGTTCCCTACTTCATGCTGGTATGTTGCATTCACATCTTGGAGCAGTGGGTTGAAGTCTGATCCTTCTTTCCCTGTGGAGATATAAACAATACCCTCCCCTTGGGTGGATTAATATCCTGTTCCCCCACTACCCATTTCTTCGCCCCCCCCCTTTTAATTGGTTACCATATGCTTTCCTGGATTTGGTCTGGCCCCTGCCATACTACCTGGTCCTCACCCCAGGGATGTTTGTGTACAGTAGCTTTTTCCCTATCCCCCTTTTGCATTAAAAAAAAAAAATCTTACCTCAGTGGACTCATGTTGTACTTGTCCTTTTGTGCTTGGTTTATTTCGCTTAGCATGATTTCCTCCAGTTCTTCCCATGTGGCGATGTGTTTCATGTATTCATCACTGCTTGGTAGCGATGCATAGTACTCCATTGTATTTATGTACCATAGTTTTTTAATCCATTCATCTGTTGAGGGAAATTTGGGTTGTTTCCAACTCCTTGTAATTGTGAACTGTGCCGCAATGAACATTGGAGCACAGATGTCTGGCCGTGGTTTGTTTTTTTGTCTCTTCTGGGTATATTTCCAGTAGGTGGGTGGGGGTGGGGGTGGTTACTGGGTCTTATGGTAGCTCAATTTCCATCTGTTTTAGATATCACCAAATAGATGTTTATTGTGGCTGTACATGCCTACAGTTCCACCAGCAGTGGATGAGAGTTCCTATCTCACCACATCCCCTCCAACACTTGTTGCTTTCTGATTTTTTGAATTGGGCCCTCTTTGAGGGTGTTAGGTGGTATCTCATTGTTGTTTTAATTTGCATTTCTCTTATGGCTAACGATCGGGAACATTTTCTCAGATGTTTATTGGCCATTCAGATTTCTGCCCTTGTGAAATTTCTGTTCAGGTTCTTTGCCCACCTCCTCA